AATGATACCAAAAAAGAGTGACAGAACATGTAGCAGAACATATCTGACAACAGAACAAAATCACTAAAATCGGAAATTTTAGTTACTTAAGATTTTTTAAATGTACATTAGGTGTCGCCATAATCGATGTGATGCTTTCTTTTAAGTGTTAAGTATAGGTCTTTCATAGATTCTTAAAATATATTACAAAATTTACTGAAAACAGGACAACGTGACAGCCTTAGGATATTGCCTCTCAAATGGATAATAATAGTTGAAAGTGAAGTTTTTTTTTTGAATATAAATAGGTGTATTATATTTTACATCAAAACATGCCTTTGAATATATAAGTATAGTTGCAAAAATTTTGTTAAAAATTGATATATAGTAACAAAATTGTATAGTAGTAATATTATTTTGACGTTAATAATTTTTATATTGTATTAAGCAATTTAAATTATTTTTAATAATCCTTTTTACGTGTAAATTAGCAATCACAATATGAACAGACTAAAAACAATATACAAATAAAAATAAAAAAATAATAAATATAAAATAAGAAATAATAATAATAATAAAAATAGTCCATATGTGACCTAAGGATACTTATGCATATGAAATTCATACACTCCCAGGCACAAATCAGGCTTCCTTTTTTAGAGAAGAAATTTATGCGAAAAGTTATTGTTTCCAATAACGAAATATACATGTCACTTACTTAAGCAATAGATTAATATATATGATTATATGGTATTTGCTAAAGAGTAATAAAAGTGACAAGGAAATTGAAAAAGTATTGGAGTTCACAAGATATAAATCTGTGTAAACAAGATCTATAAGGAAGCGGCGTAACAACTGCAAAAAAAGATTCACAGAGTTCACAAGGAGGTAGTTAGAGAACAGACTTACTGCCTAAACAGATGCTAGTGTTGTGTTTCATTATGTGACAGGAAATTAAGAATCATAAATTTAAAATATGTTTTAAAAACAAAAAACAAGAACAATTGTGAAAAAAAATTATTACCACACTTTTAACTAAAAATAAGCACTCGTATATTTGATGTGCAAATATTTTTGGAAATTATAATTCTCATAAACTTTACAAACTTTTTACTACAAATTTTTGTGTACATTCTCATAGAGATTGGTTTTGACTTTGTTTAATAATAAATTATTTCAATATAATAGTTTTGGAACTGTCTTTATAAGATGTTTTAATATGTTAGCATCAGTTAAATATTGCATTGATGTGCCGAATAATATATAAATTCGAAAGAGGAGAATCAAGAAATTACATATTATATAAGTATTATTAAGGAAACTTGTAAGTTATTGCTAAATCAAATAAATTTAATGACATTTTAAAAAATAAATCAAACTTCCATTGAATAGAAGTCACATTGACCATTTTCTAACATAGACAGACGTCAATTTACCATTTTACGTTTTAACAGTTTTATATGTCTTTTGAATGACGTACCAAAAATATATCTGGAATTTTTGTCCACGTCCGTTGATCTATACGCTGTAAGACATTTAAGGCATTTAATAATTTATGAAATTCATTTCAGTAGTTTTTATGTATAGAAATTGAAATCACTTTGAAGTAGAAATTGCAAGAATTCTATTAAGAATTTATATTGAAAGTACCAGAAGTGTTACTAAGAAAACATATCACATATTAAAATAAGAAGTCGTAGTCAATAACATCTAGAACATATATAAAAGCTTATAATAAAAAATATATAAAGTGTATGAGAATTAAAAGTTTCTAAAACGTGTGTGTGGACAGAAAGATTTGGGTCAGTTTTAAAATATAGATCGCTCATTTGGTTTAAAATTAAAGTAAACAAATATTTTTCTTTTTTTTATGTTGAAGCAATTTGAGCCAGTACACTTGAGCACTTTTACTCTTTCTTAACTCGAGGTATTTTTAAAACCCCTCTTTACACCTTGACTGGATTATCGTTTATCACTTCATCAGACTAAGCATCAATTGACCTCAGATCTGTATACTTCCACGAGGAGCCTGTAACTATTCTGAGATTTGATAACGCGTTGTTGGTAAGTCTGTCAGTTTTCGCAAATAATTTTAAGGGTCTATCCTTTATGTGTTTTTTGAAGATCCTCAGATCTTCAGGTCTCTGAGGATGTCATTCGTCCTATTGTACCATGGTACTTTGAAAAGTCTTCTCAGAGCCTGACTTTGTGCAATTTCTAGCTGGCGAATAGTAGTGTTTGAAGCTTTGCTAAACGCTACACAACAATATAAAAGTGACGGACGAAATATTAGTATTTTTCTTTTTTGTTTGTTGATTTTTTTCAACTCTTATGTTTGTTGTTTTAATAGTAAAAAGTAACGATCCGAAACGAACACCACATTTCCTTAATCAATTTTTTTTTTTGACCACGAAACAAGCACTGTTCACTTAAAGTAACTTCATTGTTTTAACATATTATTGGATGGGTAAAAGAGTTACCATCTATTAGTTGAGTATATATACTATGATATAATTTATATTAGAAAAACATTTTTCCCTTAAAATTATTTAAAAATCGTTGAAAATCTGTAAATACTTAAATCATAAAAAATTTTAAAAAATAAAGTAAAATAAAATTGGTGAGCCCTTTCTTTACAACACCCATAGTGCAGAATATACATAGTCTAAAAGCAGTTATTTCCAAATATATTCCACCTAAGACATTTGATAGCCTACCAGTTATTTTACTATATTAAACCAAATATACAACTGAACATGACTACTTAGTACAAGAGAAAAATTAGAGACACCTTTTTTTACAAACCCAAAGTGCAGAATATAAATTCGTTTGAAATAGTCGTTTTCAACTGTATTCCAGCTAAGATCTTTAATAGCCTACCAGTTCTTTTACTGTATATAACCGAAAATACAACTGAACATGACATGCAGAAGTTACTGTTTTAGTTACAGTTGGAAAATAATGGCATATAAATAGAAAAAGCTATTGCAAATGATTTAGCTTATTCCTTTGATATCTGCTTAATAAGATATTTTAAAGAAAATAATATATTAATTTGACTTACAACAAACTAAAATTAAAAAGTTCTCATAATAAAACAGATTTCTATTTCATAGGATATGGGGGGATCACACTTAAGAAAACATTGGTTTATACTATTCATTACTATTGGTTCGTCGCCAAAGTAATGCGAAATCGGTTCCTAGGAGAAATAAGTCTCGCCGAAGAGTATGTGTTTTAGTTCGGCCAGACTATTCTGACGAAAGTCGGTCTGACGGTGCATGAACGCTTCTCAACATAAACAAAAAAAAACAAAAAACATTGGGTTATTTCATATTATTGAAAGCCCACAAACAATTATTGAAATACCATTGCATTACATGGTGTGCCACTGTTAGATATAGTATTCCGGCTACAAAATTCTTGTAGTCTGAGCATAGATATTGTACTACTGCTTTTAATATATAGTTTTATAAGCATTATATACATGCCTATTGAGCTCATGTATGCTACTCTATGGTTACTTCTGAATAAGCTTATTGATATTGTATTAGTTTTTTGTGTAAGAGTGATGTGGCAATATTAGATTTTGCATTCTGGTCCTCAAACTTTTGTTGTTTGAGTCTATACTGCTATTTTTCTTAACGTTTCGTACTCTAGTCCGGTATGTTATTAAATATTTTTTTCCTAAGAGCAAAGTAGCTGCTTAGGTTTAGTACCTCTAACAATGGTGTCTGCGATTTTGACTATTTAATTTTGCCGTTCTTCAGATCAGGTTTTTTTGTTTCCTGAAATACTTAATAAATAATACGTATATGTATATATTCTGTGTATAAAGTAAACTTCATTTTTAAATGTTCCTACTAAGCACTACTAACAATATATATAGACTTTTTTATGCATTCTTTTTTATATGTAATTTATATTTTTCCCATGAGATTTATTGGCATACGTCATTAAATTAAAATCGTAAACAAATTAGATAATATTTGACAAAAAATTTATATTCCCACAAATTTTATTTTTATATTTCCAAAAAAATATTTGCGTAAGCAAAGAGCTTAACTTCATTGACAAAAAAAATGAATAAAAAAAAAGAACATCATAAACAAATAAAAAAAAATTTAGCAAAAAAATGTTTATATAGTAAATCAATGCTGTCGCTCAACGAACCTCTGCGACATAACCTCAAAACGGAAGCAAGCCATCAACAGGTGCATATGTCGGCATGTTGTAAAATTCTTTTACCATTGCAATCACTAAAAACTAGCGAAGTGTCTATGAAATATTAAAACAACAATCATAACAACAACAACACCGACAACACATATAAAAAATTATAAGTTTTGGTTAGTATAAAGAGAAGCGACTGCCGGTAGGGGGCTGTGGGGATAGCCGTCAGTGCAGAGCAAGTAACATCGTGCCCTTATCGTGTTTTCCATCTTCATGGCAAATGTTTCATGTTTAGCCCCAGCAGAGAGTAACGGGGTGTTTCTTGTATTTTATGCATGTTGAAAGATTGTTAAGGTGTTTGGTTATTAAGTGAAAGCAGGGAAATGTAGGGAGGAGCAGAGGAAAAAATGTAGGCAGCAGCAGTGTGTAATAACACCAACAGTAAAGTGTACCAAGTATGCGGCATAATTGTTGACTGTGTGCTGTGTGCTGTGTGCTGTTGCTGCTGCTTTAATATTTGTTGTTTTAATGGATGTTACTGTATTTGTAGTTGTTATTGTATTTGTTGTTGCGCACATTGCTAAGGATTCTTTATCAACACTGTTTGTAACGAGTTGGTGCATATGTACTTGTGTCTATGTGTGCGTAGCATAAATCCTATAGAGTGTGTTTGCAAGTAACGGCATGTGACTGGTTGCGCTTGTCTATGTTTAGCTTTAACAGTGTGCGGCATTGGTGTGCGTGTGCTCTGTGCTGTGTACTGTGTGCTGTGTGTTGTATGGCATGCTAAATGATGTACAACACGTACCATTTTGTATAAAAAGCTAACGTACTTCAACGCCAACATCGAGTTAACATTTCAACTTCTTGTAGTTCACAACGGCTCAGAGCGCCATCAAACAATTTTAAGTGAAGCATTATAGGCGCATTAACATTTATCGTTAATACCAGAAGCGGCAGTTAATTCAAAAATCAAATTTATACTAACGCCTTAGTTCAGCATTAAGTGCATTTATCTAAAGCCGTTTGTGGTTCCTGTACATTTTGTTGCCGGCTTGACCGTCTTTAATTGTGAGTGTTCAAATAAAAACTTTATTTGTCGTTAATTTTATTTTTGTTAAATAAATTTTTTAACGTACTAACGTACAAACGTACGATTTCTATAATTTTTATCTTACTTCATTTAACACAGAGATATTTTGCTATTCTTTTTATTATATAATAAATTCCACATTTTTGATAGCCATTTTGGCGCCAAAATTTAATTTAAATCAAGAATTTGTGTGAAAATGTTTTAACATCGCTTAAATTTGGTGTCAGAAAGTAAAATATATATATATAAAAAAAACACATTAAAAATATTATTCAGTGTTTAATATATATAATACTTTTCAATTTTCAATTTTTTTAAGTGTAAAAACATTTATAAAGAATTAACAGATTTTAGTGCGAGGATTTAAAAATATGAAATTTATTATTTTTATATAATTCAATACTTTATTTTATTTAAGTGAAGTAGAATTTTTAAAATATAAACACATTTGTAAAAATTGCAAAAAATTGATATAAAGGTTTTCAAATATGAAAAATAATATTTTTACTTACAAATTGTTTAAAATAAAATTAAAAAAATATTTTTTTATTAGTATTAGTAAATTAAAAAATTTTTTTATTTGTATTAGTACTACTAATAACACAAATACTAATAAAATAATTTTTTTTAATCTTAATAGTACTACATTATTTTTAATTATAAATTGTTGAAAATAAAATGTAAAACAAAATTTTTTATTAGCATCAGTATTATTAGTAGTACTAATAAAATTTAAAACAAATTTTTTTAAAGTATAACCAATACTAATGAAAATGTTTGTTTTAATTTTAATAGTATTACTAATAAAATATTTTTTTTTAAAATTTTATTTCAAACAATTTATTCTTATTTTATCGCGAATTTTTAACAATTAATTTCGTTTAAAATACATTAATATTTTATTTACGAAAAGTAAAATTGCTTTTCTCAGAAAATGCAGAAACAATAAATTTGGAAAAAATATTTGTAAAATGCATAAGGTTTATATTTTCGGAAATCAAAATTTCTTTTCTTGAGAAATTCAAAAAAACATTTTTTTTTTGAAAAAAACACAGCATAATAATTTTAAAAATATAATATCTGATGCAAAATTATTAAAATCCAATAATTTTTTTTATAATTTTAATTAATTTAGTTTTTATATTTTTTACCGGACTTAGTAATAAAAATTTATTAAATTTTAATTAATACTTTAATTAAAAATTATTTTTAAAAATGTTGAAAAATAAAAATTCCCTTTAGAATATATAAGGTTGTATAATAACAAAAGTCTTGGATGCGTAAACATTATTACCTATACACTTTTTTTTATAATTTTTAAAATTTAAAAACTATTTTCAATATAAAATAATATTTATTTTATTATTGCAAAATAATGAATTGTATGAGTGTAGTCAAGCTAAATAATTATTATTATTATTAATTTGATTAAAATTGCTAATTATTATAAATATAATAGTAATTATATAAAATTTTTACAAAAAAAATATATTTTACTTTTTTAATACCTAAACTATTTAAAATTATTTTCAAGAAACATTCATTGAACTGAGAACAAAATTTATTTTCGTTTAAAATTAAGTGATGAATTTAGTAAAAAATTAATATTTGATGCAAATTTAATCTCTTTTCCTCATATTCTATTTGGAAATATCTCTAATATTTTTAAATGTTAATATTAACTCTTACTTGTATTTTTGATAATATTTTTCAATTTTTCCAATATATAAAATTATTTAAATTTATTTATTTTAATTTAACTCAGTTCAAACACTTAATTAAGTGAACAAAAAATAGAATATGTAAAATAGTATTTTTTCCAAAATAATTTTTAAACTTAATTTTGAAAATAACTTCAACGAACTTAAATGTTTAATAAATCAAATATATTTTTTTGTATAAATATATGAAACATCGATTTTAATTTTTATTTTAATTTTTATTTTCTTAAATTTTGAGTTGAAATGAATAACTTTTAATAACTTTTAAAATTTATATTTAAATAAAATAAACTTAATTTTATATTGACAATTATTTGAATTATAAGTTTGGAATATTATTATGGTGTTTAAAACTTTTTATATAAAATTATTTAAGTTTTAAAAAAATAAAGTCTGAATGCTTATGAAAATAGGACATGTCTTATTTAGTACTTCAAAAATATTATCTAGTTTAATTTTTTTTTTAGGTAATAGTTTAATTACAATCAGTCTTATAAAAATATAAGTGAATTTGTTAAGTTTGAGAATTGTTAAAACTGAGCTAAAAAATTCGATTCAATTCTATATTAGTGAAAAGTATTTCACTTGCTATTTGAAATACTGTTTTACAAATAATAATAGTAAAATTTTTTTTCAAATTCATGAAGCCTATATCATACTTTTCTAATAATTCTTCATATTATTATATTAACTTGAATCTATTGCCTTAATAAAGACTAAAATATTTCATTGAAATATTATTGGTTTTTTTAAAAAATTTAATAAAAAAAAATTCTTATTTTTTCCTTATACAATTTTTTTTGAAGTTATTTAAATTCTTCTTCAATAAAATAAAATCAAATTTAAAAATTTTTTATTTTTTATATCATATACTTTGTTTTGTCGAATATTGTGCAAAAAATCACTCATACGCCACGATGAACCCAACATAAAGTTCACCTGTGAGGTTTGCAAATGTTTTACAATGTTTCTATGTTATACCATAAATTGGTGCTTCTGTATATTTTACATAAGAGGAATTATATTAAGCTTTAGATTGTACTTTAGAGATATTTATATGCTTATGTAATTTCAACTAATCCTTCTGTAAATGTTGCACAAGTTGACTTTGAAATAGTAGTAAGCTAAGTACTTACACACCATGAGCTTGTTATCAATACTTAAAGTTACTAAAAATAATAATGGTCTTATTTCCGAATAAGACCGTATATTTTATAGACTTCCACTTGTTGCATAAAGATGAGATTTGTGTTATTTAAATAAATATTAAGGGAAATCCGCTTAAAGTAGTTTTTTGTTTTTTATAAGTAAAAAGCCCTTTAGTACACGTTTTCTTAATAGTTTTTGAACTTAAATTTTTTGTTTGATAATCTTTAAATTTATGTTATATTTATGTACTCATTGTAATGCGAATCAAGTTAAAATGGTTTTAAAATTTAGAGATTTTTTTAAATCAAACTATAAATTTCAGCTAAAGGTTTTTCTTGGTACTTTATGTACAATTACTCATTTTTATATAAAAACTTATATTTTACATTCTTATAACATTTAATTTATTAAATTTATATTTAATAATATTTCTTTATATATGGAAATAAAATTTGTTCACAAAATTTTTTATATTTAGAACCTTTCCTTTATATGGTAGAGCCTTTCCTGATATGAAACAATATTGTGCTAAAATAGTATTATTAAAGTCTTAAAATTCGATCAGATATAAAAAGTTATATATCAACTTTCTCTACTCAAAATTTTATAAGCTTATTAAAAACATATTTCCTTACAAATTGCAACTAAGCCAGTTTCCAAATAAATGAAGTGAAATAGAAATAAATATCATCAATATTAATTGTATTAATACTTCTTTAAGTTTAATTTGTTCATTTTTAAGTATATAATAATTTGGAAAAATTCATTAAATAATTTCGAATAATACCATATATCGAAAAATCATCCTTATTTTAAAGATAGTTAGTTTAATTTGTCCATATGTACTTTAATTTCTAGTCTTTGAGAGTGAATTCTTTTTAAAAATCCATAGATAGATAGAGAAATAGATAGTTAGATAGATACTTCTTTTTTGCTCAATATTAAAATTTTTTAACATAAGCAAGTATTATGCCTTAAATCTAAAAACATTGGTTAGAGTTACTTAAAAATTTATTGAAAAAAAAAACACGACACTGACTTGATAGCCGTATGTCGGAGGTGTTGGATTTATATAATTTTGGCTTTTAGCTTAAAAATCCATAGTTTTGTTGGAATTTTTATGACGTGATATTATTTATTATAAACAATTCCTTATCTTATTCTCAAGTCTTATGTATATACAATTTATGTACTATAAAGTTAAACATAAGCTACTTTTTAGAAACTTTCAACAAAAAAAAAAAATAGTAATATTTTTTATTTCTTTGCTCATATATTACATATAGAATATTGAGATAGTTATTATATTTGCATTGCAAAGAGAGTAAAAAATTATGTACATATAACTTCACAATGAAGTGAACTTTGAGGATATATTTTTTTGTTGAATAGATTATATATATTATGTATAAATTAATATTATTTATTTTGAAAAAATTTTAAATTCTAAAACAGACATTCATAAATTATAACAATATTAATACATTCAAATCTAAAATCCACATTTTGTTATATATCAACTTTAAAGAAAAAAATATATTTTAATTTTTGCAAATTTGACAATGAATTTTTCTGTAGCATTAAGAAAATACGTTTAGAGAAGGTAAATAATTGAAATATTATTTTGATTAAAATTTTAAATTGTTCAAACTATAAACTCAAAACTATTAATCATTAAAATTAATTTCTGCGGCTTTGGTTAAGTGGTGTGCACACATGTGGCCCACATTTACCCCTAAACCTACTGAATTAGGGAGTAACAATTATTTAACTATTTAATTTGCTAATCATTGAGAGACAAAAGGTACTTCTCAAAATTGAAATTAATTTTATTATGAAAGATTAAACAAAAATATATCTTTCAGTTCATGGAAGACTAATAGAAAATTATACAAACAATGAAACACATTAGTCGCTCTGAAATGTACTGAACACTCATACATATCTGTAGTTGACTAGATATATGGATTAAATATAATAGATTTTGCAATTTTTAGTTTAAATGAGGAAGTTTTTGTTTCTACAAAAACACTTTATTAATCCAAATATTGCTCACTTATTAAAGTTGAATCTATTTTAGCGGAAAAACTGGATGTTACACATCCCAG